CTGTTCCTGATGCCCCCGGTGCTGTGGTTCTATCTCCAACTCACCTTCAAATTCTCTCCTTCTTCCTCCACTGCCACTAAGCCATTCAGGATGCCCTTGTCTGTCTCCCATGCCTCTCCCCTTCCCCTTGGCAGCTATTCCCAGGATAGCCAGCAGTTGTCTTACAAAAGGGAAATTCAGGGAATGTCACTGCTTGCTTCAAAACCCTTCAATGGTTTCCTCCTAAACCCAGAGTAAAACTAGGGTTCCTTTCAGGGTCCAGTCATCTGGCCCTGTGTCTCCCTCTCCTCTTGACTCTGCTCTTCCCCTTACTCCTGATCCTCAGACACATCAGCGCCTTCCAATTTCTTGAATATGTCAAACTTTCTCATCCCAGGTCCTTTGTATAGGCTACTACTTCTATTTGAAAACTTTCCCCCAAACTTTACAGGCTGGTTTTGCACATTCTTTGGATTATCAGCCCAGATCTCAGCTCCTCAAGGAGACCTTTTCCGACAGCATTTAGAAAGGGGCACCATCAGTACAATTGTTTCCTTCAAAGCATCTGGCACACCTGACCTTGCCTGCTTTCTTGCCTATTGTCTCTCTCCATTAGAATCTGAGCTCCTCAAGGGCAAGGATCTTGTCTGCTATGCTCGCCCCCACCTACTCTGGCTTCCTCGCTCAGCAGGGTCTCCTGTGAAGATCATGGCTGTCAGCTCTCAGGGCAGCTGCTGAAAGCAGCTTAACATACCAGGGCCTGTATGGAAGGAAGGACTGCCCGTTAGCCAGGCAACAGTTATGCAGCCAATCATATTTCTTCTGTTCTGGCTGGAGAGACAGACCAATGGGCTTCTGAAGGGCACTGTGGATTTATGGGAAGAAGCACCATCATGCCACTGAGCAGGTACAGACCCCAAACAGGGCACCGTGAAAATTAAGAATTAAAAAAGCATTTGGGGGTGGTGCCTGTAGCTCACTGGGTAGGGTGCTGGCCACATACACTGAGGCTGGTGGGTTCGAGCCCTGCCTGGGCTGGCTAAACAACAATGACAACTGCAACCAAAAAAATAGCTGGGCGTTGCGACTGGCACCTGTAGTGCCACATACTCAGGAGGCTGAGGCAGGAGAATCCCTTAAGCCCAAGTTTGAGGTTGCTGTGAGCTGTGATGCCATAGACTCTACTGAGAGTGGCATAGTGAGACTGTTTCAAAACAAACAAAAAAATAGAACATTTGGGCTGAGTGTAGGGGCTCATGCCTGTAATCCTAGCACTCTGGGAGGCAGAGGCAAGTGGATCACTTGAGCTCAGGTGTTCAAGACCAGCCTGACCAAGATTGAGACCCTTTCTCTACTAAAAATAGGAAAACTAGCTGGGCATGGTAGTGGGTGCCTGTAGTCCCAGCTACTTGGGAGGCTGAGGGAGGAGGATTGCTTGAGCCTAAGAATTTGAGGTCGCTGTGAGCTGTGATGTCTACTGTACTCTACCCAGGGTGACAGAGTGAGACTCCATCTTAAATGCAAAAAAAAAAAAAAGCATTTAGGGATTAATGTCTAGAATATGAAGAACTCCCACAGCTCAATAACATAAAATCCCAAACAACTCAATTTTTTTAAATGGGCAAAGGATTTGACTAGAAAGCACTGGATTCCTCCTAAGATTAACAGATGGCCATCAAGCACATGGAAAGATGTTCAGTATCACTGATCATCAGGGACATGGAAATCCAAACCACAATGAGATAGCACTCCATGCTGATTAGGACGGCTCTTACCAAAAAACACAGAAAAGAAGTGCTGGTGAGGATGCGGTGAAACAAGCCTTCGTGCACTGGCTGGTGGAAATGTAAAATGGTGCAGCCACTGTAGAAAACAGTATGGTAGTTCCTCAGAAAATGTAAACATAGAATCACCATATGACCCATCAATTCTACTTCTAGGTATATACACAAAAGAACTGAGAGCAGGGTCAGTGTCCACAGTGGCATTATTCACGACAGCCCAAAGGTGGGAACAACTAAAATGTCCAGCGACGGAACACATGAACAAATGGAGCATGCAAAGACAATGGAACATTATTCACCTTACAGACGAAGAGATTCTGACACATGCTACAACATAACATGCATGAACCATGAGGACATTAAGATAAGTGACATAAAGCCAGTCATAAAAGGACAATACTGCATGATTCCACAAGTAATGAGGTACCTAGAGTAGTCATATTCATAGCAACAGAGTTGAATGCTGGTTCCAGGGACTTAGGTAAGGGGGAAATGGGGAGTTGCTGTTTAACAGGCAGACAATTTCTGTTTTGCAGGATGAGAAGACTTCTTGAGATGGAGGGGTAGCAATGACAACACAGCAACATGAGTGTGCTTAATGCCACCCAACTGTACACTGAAAAATGTGAAGATGATAACTTTATGTGTATTCCACCATAATTAAAAGGCTCAGTGTTTATTATCAAGCTTATTCCAAGAGGAGCTTTAACAAAATTTCAAGTATTTGTTTAAAATGTGTATTTAGTGAACATCTAGTTTCTAAGTCCTCTGTTCAGTGCCAAGGGAGAAAAAGAAAGGTAATGTTATTCTCAAGAACCTCACACTTCATAGGCAGTGCCTGTGGCACAAAGGAGTAAGGCACCGGCCCCACATGCTGGAGGTGGTGGGTTCCAAAAACTGCAAAAACAAAAACAAAAACAAAAACAAAAAAACCCCCTCATACTTCAGACATGGGGAGAGAGAAGCAGAAAAACAAGGATTTTTTTTTTTTTAATAGACAGACTGAACTTGAACTCCTGGGTTCAAAGAATCCTCCCATCTCAGCCTCCCAAGTACCTGGGACTACAGGTGCACTGACCAAGATAAGGATCTTAATAAAAAAGGCAGAATGGACTGGAAGTCTTATTGGAGATTCTATATGTACAAAGGGCTTCGGCTTTAGAAGGAAACACACATCACCACATCAAACATACAACTTAAGAGATGAAAGATTTAAACATAGGAGGCTTGGAAGAAATTGGGGGATTAATTAATACTTGTGAAAAGAAAATCTTTAAAGTGGTAACATGAGACGAAGGGTAGGGATGGAAGAAAAGAAAAATTTGGCTGCTATAAATGAGATATCTAGGGTGAAAGCATTACTAAGATATAGTAGAATCAAATCTACTGTTGAACCACCAATTACAACCAATGTGTCCTAACACGTAAGTGTCCAGCAAAGAAGATGAATTTTCAGAACTATATGATTTTCTTCCCCACAACACCTTAGGACTGTTGTTAGAGGCACCTGGTGGGAGGTTCAGGTCAGTGTCCATTGGTATCAAAAATGACTAAGTTAGAAGAGGGTGACCTGAATGAGAAGGGAAGGACACAGCTGGGATGGCTTCGAGGCTGAGGGCCATTCTTGCTCTTTTGTGCCTGTCACAGGCTTGTATGGAATATGAAACCTGACACTTAAAGAGATACTTCACTCACTTGAAATGCAGAAATATTTATTTTGGCTTCCTTCATTGTTTTTGGAAATTCTGTTTTGGTTTATAAAACATAGAAATAGCTGACACTTAAAGCAAACATTCAAAACCCCAATGTGACAAATTATCGACGTTTTGTGCAATTAAGAATACATATATGAAGTTAGGCTACCAAATAGTGTTATTACAATGACAGTTCTTTAGTGCAAACCCTGTTGTGCTTGTATAATACATGTACTCTCATGTATCCAAAAACAGTCACTGTGAATGTATAAATGACAGCTGAATTCAGTCAAATGTAGCCAAGACTCGCAATAAAGTGAACTGATGTTAATTTCCCGAATTAACATTAAAAAAAAATCCCTTGAGAAGTTAATCCCAGGTAATGATCTTTCCATATTTCTACATCCTAGAATTATTTTGGCTTATCAAATACATTTCATAGAAATCAAGTAGCATTATGCTATAAGAACATTTATTTCTGTCCATTTCAGTAAGTACCCAAGTGTATCTACTCCCTTAATATTTTTATTTTTAGAGACAGAGGCTCACTTGGTCACACTTGTTAGAGTGCTGTGAAGTCTTAGCTCACAGCAAACTCAAACTCTTGGGTTCAAGCGATCCTCTTGCCTCAGCCTCCCACATAGCTGAGACTCTAGGCACCCGCCACAACACCTGGCTATATTTAGAGATGGGGTTTCGCTGTGGCTCAGGCTGGTCTCGAACTTGTAAGCTCAGGCAATCCACCTGCCTCAGCCTCCCAAGTGCTGGGATTACAGGCGTGAGCCACTGCACCCAGCCTTCTTAATATTTTGAAAGACATGCTTTGCCTGAGAGTTTATTTTGGGGGGAGAAAAGCAAGTTAATCATGACATGATTTTTTGATATGAAAACAGTATTAAAAATCCATTGGCTATTACACACACTGGGCAAGTGGTTCAGTGAAGATAAAGTAGTTTATTTGGACATCACAGTTGAGCATGTTGACCCACCTAATGCTTTCTTTCTTGAAATGCTTTCTTCACTGTTGAATCTAAGGCAGATTTTTAAATAACCCCTGGGATGGGATAGAGGGAGGGAATCCGGTCTGGAGAACAGGGGCCAAGAGCATTCTGCTGTGGTGAGAAGCCACTGGAGACTCGGCCCCTGTGCCGTTCTGAGTTGGCTGTGTCCTTTGGTTTACTGGAAACCTCGTGTCCAACAGGAGGAAGAGGGGACCAAGGAGTAAAGCATGTTTCATGACCCTCATGATCAGAAGTGCTGTGTAAGTGCCTATGAGGTGGGGAAGGGTTGCTGAGAGGGATTAAAAAAAAATCTCTGGTCCGCTTGTGACATTCTCCAGCCAGAACAGTTGTTCTCATTTCTAAAGGGACAGCTTTCCTCTAGTGCACTGTACTCTTTAGAGCAGCAGACAACTGTAGCAAGTAGCAGAGGTCTCAGGGATAGCAAAGTCCTAATCCCTTGCTTAGAAAAACAGGGAGACAGAGAAGTTTTAAAACCCACCTTTTGAACTGAGGAAGTCTTAAATAACTTAACACATTAATAGTTTTTCTGTTACAATTTTTAAGGCTCATTTTGGGAATTGTATATCACCATAAACATGGCCTACAACATAAGGTGACTATAAGGCAGTGTTCCATTTCCTCTAATATTCCTATGACAAGAACCCCGAGCAGACTAGTTAAACGTGCACATTTCCTTCCCTAGACTTGCTGTAGTCAAAATTACCAACGTGAAGGCCATTGGTAGAGTAAGAGATGGAGGCGGTATGCTGTTCTTCTGACGTTCTTCCTCACATTAAACCTTGATGGTGGAATAAAGTTCATCTATCTGTGACCTGAAATAGTTCCGCAGCTCTGGCCTTTTGGCCTTCATTGTTGGAGTCAGAAGGCCATTTTCAATAGAAAATAATTCAGGGTGTATCGCAATGCCTTTGACCTGCAAAATAAATAAACCTGCTAGTGGAGGGAAGAGGACATAGGCAACCCAGCTTAAAAGCCACCCAATGCTTCCTCTCGCTTCAGCCAAGCTGTACCTTCTCTATAAAGGACAGCCATCCTATTCTTGTATCCTGACCTCCCCGGGAAAAGATAATTCAAACATGTGGCTAAAATACCTTTTTTTTTGCAGTTTTTGGCTGGAACTTGCCACCTCCAGCATATGGGGCTGGCACCCTACTCTTTTGAACCACAGGCACCACCCAAAAAACACCTTTCTTCTATCAAACAACTCCATCATTTATTTCTCATGTCTTTTTTTTTTCCAGAGAGGGTCTCGCTCTATTGCTCTAACTAGAATACAGTGATGTTATCACAGCTCACTGCAATCTCAAACTCCTGGGCTCAAGTCATCCTTTTGCCTCAGCCTCCCAGAGTGGTAGGATTACAGGCGTGAGCCATTGTGCTCAGACTGTTTCTCATGTATTTCTTCAGGTCATCTCACCTGCTTACAGAATATACTTGTAAAAGATCTTCAAATCAAAGATTTGTTTACAAGAATTCACGCATTTAGAGGAAGGACGTACCTGTTCAAATGGCTTGAGACCAGAGTCCTTCCCGAGTCTCACCATATCTTCTAGGATGGCTTTCTTGAGATCCTAATAAAGTAAAAAGAAGATACTTCCTCTGTTGCGAATCCCTGTGGAATCACAGGGACATTTAGGGCAAAGTTAACATGATGAAAGACTGGACTCTGCAGAACCTTACCTTATTTCGGCACAGTTCATCAAAGGTTCCATCAAATCCTTTCTTTTGGGCCCAGGAAGATAATGTCTCAACATCCGGTACCACAATTGCTATGAGAAATGCCTTAAACACAGACAAGTGAGTTAGTACAGCGCTTGACCTAAATGCTCTAGAACAGTAATTCTTTATTTCTTTGTTTCCCGGGTCCCTGGGACAATCTGATGAAAGTTACGGGCCCCTCCCTTCAGAACACACGAGTCTCCTTGCCTAGGAGTTCACTAAAACCAGGTTAAGAACTCCTGGCTCAGCTTGGCCGCTGTAGCTTAGTGACCAGGGCACTAACCACATACACCAGAGCTGGCGGGTTTGAACCCAACCCAGGCAAGCCAAACAACAATGACAACTGCAACCAAAGAAATAGCCAGGGGTGGTGCCTGTGGCTCAGTGAGTAGGGTGCTGGCCCCATATGCTGAGGGTGCCAGTTTGAACCCAGCCCCAGCCAAACTGCAACAACAACAAAAATATAACTGGCCATTGTAGCGGGTGCCTGTAGTCCCAGCTACTTGGGAGGCTGAGGCAAGATAATTGCTTATGCCCAAGAGTCTGAGGTTGCTGTGAGCTGTGATACCATAGCACTCTACTCAGGGAGACAATTTGAGACTCTGTCTCACACACACACACACAAAAAGAACTCCTGGCTGTACAATCTAGACAACTTCAGCAGTTTTGCAATTGATGTTTTAAAAGAAACATTAGCAATTGGGCAGCGCCTGTGGCTCAAAGGAATACAGGGCGCTAGCCCCATATGCCGGAGTTGGCGGGTTCAAACCCAACCCTGGCCAAAAAGAAAAAACTAGTAATCAAACCTTAATAAAATTCTAATTTTTATTTACTTTTATGTATACTTATTTTTATAAAATAGGGTCAAATAAACAAATAAAGTGATAGATAGCAGGTGATTGCTTTTAAAAAGGGCAAGAAAATTTATACAGATTCATTTTTTTCAATCTCTAAAACCTTATTCTTTATAATCTAGTAATAATAAAATTAAATGAAAACCAATAACATGGCAAGATTCTAGATAAAAAGTAGGTATACTATCTCAAAGAAAAATAAATACATTTCTCCTATAAAAATAATTAAGAAGCATATCCTAGATAAGCTGAGTTCACTATGTTTAGAATTGTTCAACATTCTTATAATCCATGTAATGTTACTTTCCTTCATAACTAAACTAGAAATACCTATTACCCAACCCCCTCAGCCATCTTTCTTCAACTTTTCTTGGTATATCAGACCGCTGTAGGTAAAATAAAAATGTAGAAATTTAAAGAGAAGAAATTTTTCTGGGCAGGAAATGCCAAGCAGCGAAACCTAATAGTGGGGTCAATGACATTCCAGCATGTCAGGCACAAAAGTCAATTTATTCTCATCGAGAACTTTCAATCCCACTCAAAGCTCCCTGAGTACAAGGCATGAGGTGCTTCTCACGGCCCAGGAAGCACATACCTGCAAGCTTTCTCCGTGGACAAACACCTGAGCGATAGGTTCACTTCGCAGGTAGATATTTTCAATCTTTTCAGGTGCTATGTATTCTCCTTGGGCCAGCTTGAATATGTGCTTCTTCCTGTCGATGATCTTCAAGGTGCCGTTCTGTTTGTCAGAGAGGAGGGCTGTGAATGGGTCTATGCCTGGTTCTCAGCCAGGACCAACATCAATCCAGCACAAGGTGTTTGATATGTGCTATCACTTAATCCTAACGACCCTAACAGAAGCTGGTGGTTGTTCCATTTTACAGGGAGGAAAATTAAGGCTCAAAGAGACTAAATAACTTGTCCAAGGCCATTCAGCTAATTACAAAGACAGAGAAAGGGCCCCAGAGCCCATGCTCATTCAGTGTCCCCACTCAGCACCAGTGACTTCTCAGCCAACTAGCAGGGCTTTGGGCTTTGTCCCCTTCATCCCAGCGTGCCTCTGCTGTCTGAATCAGGCATGTGCACATCTGGCTCACCATATCAGTCAAGGCCCTAGAGAGCAGAGACACAGACTTCCTTCCATGGTGCTCTGCACAGAGTAGGGGTTCAAGAAACAGTTACTACAAACAGTTACTATCATTGTTTGGAGGGTGTGCTCTTGGCCCTTTGGGAAAAGTTAATCACCTCATGTGGTCACCTCATGTACTAACTGCAGGAGTGCTCCCCAGCACCCAAGTGCCAGCCCTGCCTACCTCAGTAAGTAAAAACCCAACTCCATCCCAAGACCATTCTCATGCCTCAAAAAGTCATCTGTTGGAAAGTTTCTAGGGTTCTCTCATTCCACACCAGATTTCCATTTTTTCTTTTTTTTTCTGGAGACAGTGTCTTACTTTGTTTGCCCAGGCTACAGTGCCATGGTCTAATCCTAGCTCATAGCAACCTCAAACTCCTGGGCTCAAGTGATCCTTCTGCCTCAGCCTCCCGAGTAGCTGGGACTATAGGTCCCTGCCACCATGCTAGTTTTTCTATTTTTAGTAGAGACAGGGTCTCTCTTTTTTTTCTAAATAGAGTCTCACTTTGTTACCCTCAGTAGAGTGCCATGCTGTCACAGCTCACAGCAACCTCCAGCTCTTGGGCTTAGGAGATTCTCTTGCCTTAGCCTCCCAAGTAGCTGCGACCACAGGCGCCCCCCACAATGCCCGGCTATTTTTTGTTGCAGTTTGGCCAGGGCTGGGTTCAAACCCTCCCCCCTCGGTTCGTGTGGCTGGCACCCCACTCAAATGAGCTACAGGCACTGCCCACAGAGTCTCACTCTTGCTCAGAATGGTCTCAAAGTTCTAAGCTCAAGTGATCCTCCCACCTCAGCTTCCCAGAGTGCTGGGATTACAGACAAGAGGCATCACACCCAGAGCTCCATTTTGAAAAGGAGCAGATTAAAGCCCAGACAGATTATAAAAAATGTTTGTGAGAGTCAGAACTAGAGTCTGAACTGATATTTCATTCCTTTTGAACTTGAAAAGAGGGATTTAATTTTTTACCTTCATTCTCTTTTTTAGAATTGAGGTCTTTTTACATTGCCCTCATTGGTCTCAAACTACTGGCCTCAAGCGATACTCCTAATTCAGCCTCCCAAAGTGCTAGGATGACTTAGAGGGGTAAGCTACAGTTCCTGGCTTTTCTTTCTTCTTCTTCTTCTTCTTCTTTTTTTTTTTTTAATTTTGCTTTCAACTAGCTTTCACTCATCTTAGTTTGAAGTTTTTTTTTTGTTTTGTTTTGTTTTCCTTTAGTGATTCTCTTGCCCTCAGCTTCCCAAGTAGCTAGGAGACTGGGACTACAGGCACCCAGCACAACGCCCGGCTTTCTTTGGTAGAGACTGGGTCTCACTCTGGCTTAGGATGGTCTGGAACCTCTGAGCTCAGGCAATCCACCTGCCTCGGCCTCCCAGAGCACTAGGATTACAGGTGTGAGCTACCATGCCTGGCCCTGGCCTTTATTTCTAAATAGCTTGGGTATTATAAAATCTAAATTAACTCTAGGAGGCATTTTTCTGATCAATAAAAATTCCAGAGAATTAAGCATTCTTGTAGAATTAAAGCTACAAGAATCAGACAATACACAATAAAAATTTTAGTACCCATTTTAATGTTTGTAATTTAACATAGTACCAACTTAGAAAAGGCAGTGGTTGTTACCACAGCAAATACAATTGGTCAAATGGACAGGTGGAACAGATAAGGCATTTTGTACAAGCTCTCATGCCCAAGGTAGGAATTTCTCCACAGTAAATGATTCTGAAACTAAATTCAAAGAGTTATTTTAACCCATAAAACACTAGATTTTTAATGAGATGACAAATCTAAGGAACATGTGTTTTGTTTTTTTTTAAATTTATTTTTTATTTTTTTGATACAGAGTTTCACTTTGTTGCCCTTGGTAGAGTGCCATGGTATCATAGCTCACAGCAACCTCAAACTCTTGGGCTCAAAGATCCTTTGCCTCAGAAACATGCCTAATCCCAAATTCTTGCCTATCCTGCATTCCCAGTAGTCTACAACTTCCCCCAGACATCTTTTAACCAAGGCCCCAATATCAAGGCACGGAATTGATATTATAAAGAGCCACAGTCTCTCTGGATTCCAAATGGGAAGCAGCAACCAGAATTGATGTTAAGCATCAAAACAAAACATACTTGCTAAAGTTGAATATTAGAAGCAAGTAAGCAAAGAACATAAACCTATCCCCAGCAGGAAACAGAAGGGTCTACATCCTGCCACGCCAAAAGGAGAGAGGGCGGCTCAGCATCCATAGCCCAGTGAGTCAGGGCACCAGCCACATACACCAAAGCTGGCAGGTTTGAGCCCGGCCTGGGACTGCTAAACAACAATGACAACTACAACCAAAAAATAGCTGGGCATTGTGGCAGGTGCCTGTAGTCCCAGCTGCTATGGAGGCTGAAGCAAGAGAATCGCTTAAGCCCAAGAGTTTGAGGTTGCTGTGAGCTGTAATAGCACTCTACCAACTGAGGGCTACTTAATGAGACTCAGTCTCAAAAAAAACCCAAACAAACAAACAAAAAAAGAGGGAGAAAGAAAATTCAAGGTGCTGCTGTACAGACAATGGGCTACAACTGTTGGAGAACAAGGAAGCAACAACTACAACTTACTGGTAACCATTTTCCAATGTCCCCTGTGTGTAACCAGCCATCTTTGTCCAAAGCTTCTGCTGTCTTTGCTGGGTCCTTCAAGTAGCCCTGAAATACATTTGCCCCTTTCACACACACCTAAAAAAAAAAAAAAAAGATAATCTGTTAAGGAATTTACTGGGTATTTTTCAAAGAAAACTATCATGTGTGTGTCTGCCTATCCTGATCTTTAGCTAGAAGTCCTGAATTCCATGATCCAGATAGCAGGGCCCTTCATTAATTACCTTCGCTGCAGTCAAACTGTAGGGCCTGTGTTTGCCTTAGGTTCCAGCTCAAAGGTGCCAAAGCCCCACAGGACATGAAATCACTAACTGAGGATTCCCATACCTGAGGACCGGGGCTACCAGAGCTTGGTGTGCTCTTGGGCCCAAACCCCCACCACGTCAGGAAGAAGGTGGCAAGCATTGGTGTCCTCACACCCTGCCCTTGGAGAGTTGAACATCAATGTACTTTCAGAAAGAAGCCTGCCTGACTCCAGGACCACCAGGTAAGTCAGGTTCAGTGGCTTTGCTAAGATGTGCTGAGAAATGCCTATTGGGGTATCACTTACCTCACCCTCACCTTTGGCAGCCATGTAATTCATTTCTTCCACATCAACAAGTTTTATAAAGTTGCAAGGCATGGGGGCACCAACATGGCCTGTATATTAAAGGAGCAAATGATCATTCCCAGGGGGGCTCCTAATAACCTTAGGTCGAATTATCTTTATAAGAACTATGTCTCCTCATAATAAGAACATCGGTAAAAACTTCTGGTTTCTGCACTATACCTATTCTCTCTCTGATGAAATAATTTAAAAGAGGTTATTCCCAGAATAGAGACAAAAATTTAAGTCTCTTTAGGACCTTTCCAGGTTTGATGCTCTGAATTATTTGTAAATAATTTGGCCTTTAATTTTAAGGGTTACTACAAACACCCGACTTCCTAAACTTCCTAAAACTTTTATCTGGATTCTGCAGTCTGATGGTCCAGACGTAATGTCCCTGTCCTCTATAAGAAGAGAAAACACATGCAGCACAGCAAACCCCTCACCACCTGGTTCTGATCAGTAAACAGGACCCTTATTTCCTTCAGTGTGAACACACACATTTTATTTATTTAATTAATTTATTTTTTTGAGACAAAGTCTCATTATGTCACCCTCGGTAGAGTGCTGTGACGTCACAGCTCACAGCAACCTCCAACTCCTGGGCTTAAGCAATTCTCTTGCCTTAGCCTCCCAGTAGGTAGAACTACAGGCGCCCGCCACAACCTGTTTTGTTGTCCTTGTTGTTTAACAGGCCGTGGCCGGGTTCGAACCCACTAGCCCCAGTGCATGTGGCCAGCACCCTAACCACTGAGTATGGGCACCGAGCCATACATACATATTTTATATTTAAGTTTAGTAAGTTAGGACAGTGCTTCCTTCTACAGCTAACTTAACTCCCTTGCCAAAGGGTGTTAAGATGGGATTGTCTTTTCTGGAAACAAAAATAACAGATATTAGGTATGTTTTAAGTGTTACAAGTAATTCTCTTCCTAGATTTTAATAATTTGAGCTTAGAGAGATCCCAATTCTAAATTCAGTGGCTGTTAAAGAACCTGGGGTTAAAAACTAAAACCATAAAGATTCATAAACTAGGCTCAGTGCCTGTGGCTCAAGCGGCTAAGGCGCCAGCCACATATACCTAAGGTGGCAGGTTGGAATCCAGCCCAGGCCCACCAAACAACAATGATGGCTGCAACCAAAAAGTAGCCGGGCGTTGTGGCGGGCGCCTGTGGTCCCAGCTACTTGGGAGGCTGAGGCAGGAGACTCGCTTGAGCCCAGGAATTGGAGGTTGCTCTGAGCTGTGATGCCAAGGCACTCTACCCAGGGGACAGCTTGAGACTCTGTCTCAAAAAAAAAAAAAAAAAAAAAAGATTCATAAACTATCTGGGTCAATCCCAGTAGGAGTTTGTTATGGAGACAGTGCAGTATACTAGAATCTGCTTATATTTATAATACACCAAAGTCAGTCAGGGATGTCATTTGTCACAGTGCAGAATGTACTAATACAATACACTAATTATATTTAGTGGCACAGAGGAGGCAGAGATTTGCACTCCGGCAGGAATGAAATCCTGGCTCTGAAGCAGAATGTGGTGTCAGTTCTGACACATTGTTTACATGCTGTTCGGCAATAATCTATAATTTCCTGACAGAGGTCCCAGGAGTCGTCTCACAGGGATGGTAGTGTACACTGTCAGCACCCCTGGATTAAGATTACCAGCAAATAATAACAAGACCCTCAGCAATCACTGGGAAGCTGTGCTGGGCCAGGCAGTCCCAATCTGGTACACAGGGGCATCCCCTTCCAGATGTCACCACTAACTCTAGGAAATCTCTACTGCCACGAGGCTTTAAAGGCAGACCCCTAATTCAAACACCCTCAGCCACAGGTTTCCCTACAGCACCCAGATTATAAAATTGTTTGCCTCAAAGCCTAATCATCTGAGATATAGCAGTTAAGCTGATTAATGAAACAATCAAAGATTAACTCAATTCCAGTAATTCCCATAACCCAAGTGAAATAGTAAGACTGCAACTAGGACTTGTCCGCATTCGTACCTGCCGTCCAGTCTCCAGGGACAGTCAGGCAGCAGCCAGCAGTGCACTCAGTCTGTCCGTAGCCTTCGTAAAACTGGGGCACCAAGAGATGGACATTATAAAGGAGGGCACTGTCACACCTTTGCCAAAGTGCACAGGTAATCAAGTCCTGCCAGCTCCTGGCTTATGGCTGAGGGGCACCCCGGTACAATCTCATCTCAAATGGTCTGTTAAGTTCATTCCATAATCTGACGTGCTTTATGACAGCACCTACGTGTCTGCACCCCCATGCCAGACACCTATGTTCACTTTCTATGTAACTTCCTACAGACAAGGAAGTTGGAGAAGCCTGCGGGATGGGCCCAGAGTGTATTTGCTTGGGCAGTTCAGAGGTGAACCACACATTTGTCCTGTCAGCCACAAGTATCCCCTACCCACTTTAAAACAGGTTCTCAGTGTGGTTTGCAGGGAGGCATATCTCTTGTGTCCCATCCCATACCTGCATGCCCAACTCATCTTGGGTCTTACCCTAGAGAACGTCACACAAATGGTGAGGTAGACTCATATTCCCTTGCAGAGGGTGTAAACATATATATGCTTACCTATCCAAGCAAGCTAGTAATAACATACCTTGCAAACAAAAATAACACACACACACACCACACACACAAAAGGGAGGATGAGCACCATGAGGGTGACGTTGGTCAGAGAACACAAAATTTCCCTCAGGAGAAACAAGTTCAAGTAATCTATTGTATGTCACAGTGACTACAGTTAATAGCAATGTGGGTGAGGTGTATGTTAATTTGCTCAACTTAGCCATTCTGCAATCAAAACATCATGTGGCATACCATAAACATATACAATTGCATCAATTAAAAAAAGACACACATCAAGAGAATGAAAGTGGCTTTTATGGGGACTTGGCACCATAACATCTGGGAAGATCAAGGGGCCCGCCTCACCTGACAGCCGAGGGCTGCTCTCAGAAACGTCAGTACAGTGGCAGACACGGGGGCAGCTCCTGTGACCATCAGCCGTACTTTTCCACCCAGGCTTGACTTGCAAAGCAGAAAGTGGCAAGAAGCAAGGGTTACGTATCTGGAAGTTAGTGGGCCCTTCAGGCAAAGATGCCTGCTGTGTGTCCTAACCCACTAGCTCCTCTGCAGGCCACACGGAATGCACACCAGTGACAGAGCACAGAGAACACTCAGTGTTTACAGCTGCACCACGGGCTATAGCTCGTTTCTACCTGCAGCCACCTCACTCCTTCTCAACACGTGTGAAGTAAGACCCTCTGCTGACGGGCATTTCTGGAAATTAGAAGGAGACTATGATGGGTTTATGGTAATTACCACAATTCTGGCATTTTGGAGGGGACATAATATTATTATACACTTTTTTGTCACTCATGCTTAAAAAGTCACCTCAAAAGTGACATACTTATTGTAGAAAAGCTAAACAAAATGGAGAATTAGAAAGGCTGTAATGCCCTGAATCTTTTTATCCCTAAATAGTTACAGAAGCCTTCTGAGCTGTCTGGGAGACTGAGGTTTAATGGCTCTGTCTCTGATCTTTGGACATGGGCCAGAATTAACCCCGTATCCTCACCCTCACCTTCATATCTCCCCTAGAAACTTGGAAACCTAAAGTAGTCTACATGAGAAACAGCAGCAGTGAGTCTATTTAGCACCTGTATTTTGTGGAAGATCAGTTTGTCCCACAGGCTGTTGTTCCTGATAATGCCACTGCGAAGCTCGGCCTCCTTCCTTTTAGATGCGAAGTCCAAGAGCCACCGCTTCAGAGTGGTGTTGGCTTGTCCAAAGATCTAACAAGGCAAAAAGAAAGAAAGAACATTTCCACACCTATTCAGGTGGCTAGAATCAAACAGTCAGATAATTGTCAGTGTCGGTGAGGATGTGGAGAAAAGTGGGGACCCTCATCTGATGCTGGCGGGAAGGTAACACACCAGAAAACAGTCTGGCCATTCCTCTAGCAGTTAAGCATCATTGTCTCAGGACCCAGAGATTCCAGCCCTGGGTATGTGCCCCCAGAAGGGACCTGAACGGGAATGTTCCTGCAGCATTATTAATAATAGCCAAAAAATCAGAAACAACCCAAATGGTCTCCAGTGAAGGAATGGATAAAGAAAATGAACCATGTCGACACAGCAGAGTATTATTTGGGTACTAGAAGGAGTGAAGTACTGACACATGGCCGCCTGGATGAAGCTTGAAAACATGATCATTAAAGGAACACACATGGCATGGCTCCATTCACACCACAATCCAGGACAGAGGCATCTACGGATTCAGAACGTAGATTGGTGGTTGCATAGGGGTGGAGGGGGCTGGAGGGTGACAGCTGAAGGGCAGGTAAGGGGTTTCTTTTGGAGGTGACAAAGATATTCTAACATGGACCGTGGTGGTGGTAGCAGAACTGTGGAAGTTCTAGGAACCTTGTAAAGAATGTGAATTATATCACAATAAAGCTATCTAAAAAATTATTTAAGAATCATTAAAAAAAATAAGAAGATTCTCAGAGATGACAGAAGCATTGACTCAAAGAGTGTCAATACCACCCAACAGAACTTCACTTGGAGACTGCTCAGGCCACACGCAGGCTGTCTCGGCGGTATGGTCCATGCTGCAATGGGCCACCACAGAGGGGCTGACATTGTCTCAGGCCCTGCCTTGGCTAAGTCGCTTCTAGCAACAGGCTGTGTAATCTATTATGTTTTGCACGTACACAGAAAACCGTTCAGCTGTCATTATTCTTACGAGATCTTATTGGCCGTCTGTCCCCAGGCTTTGCCACTTGGAACTTACTCGATCAAACATGCGGTTTAGCAGCCTTGGAACCACAGGAAAGATAGTGGGCTGAAGCACCTTGAGGTCATCCATAAGCAGCCGGATATCTCCTTGGAAAAATCCGATTTTAGCTCCGTGACACAGCATTACACACTACAGAGGTGAACAGAAACAATGGTCTGTCCCCACAGCACGGGTTAAATGGCATGTAGACAGACAACACCGAAGACTTTGGTTTAGCATTTTAGGCCAGTTTCCAAAAATCTTAAAAGTTCCTAAATATGGCCTGCTACTGTGGCTCACTTCTGCTACTGTGGCTCACTTGAGCTCACAGGTTCGAGACCAGCTTGAGCAAAAAGCAAGACTCTCATCTCTACTAAACATAGAGAAACTGAGGCAAAAGGATCACTTGAGCCCAAGAGTTAGAAGTTGCTGTGAGCTGTGACGCCACCGTACTCTATCAGGGTGATAGCTTGAGACTCTGTCTCAAGGAAAGAAACACCAAAAACAAACAAACAAACCCCCCCAAACCAGTTTCTAAATATATGTAGCTTTTTAAAAAACTGCATTTTCCAGTCATTGTACCCATGAGATGTGACATTTCTCTTGATCATCCTAAAGACAAAGGAGCTGGTAGGAAACTAAGCTATGTTGCTTCTAGTGATAAATCAGAGAGGTTCTACTATTTTAGCTTTCTGATAAAAGTTATGGAATGAATGACATGGTACTATACACCACAAATATATTTAGCCTCTCGGAAACTTTAGGTTTACTTTATTTTCAAAATAAAAACGTAACTCCTTGCCTATTGTCTCAGCTCATTTAAGTCTTATTTTCTTTTATTTGAATCTCAAAATTCCTGAAAAGCCACTGAACATAATGAAGTTGAGACCCCAGAGTAACTAATGCCACAGCTATAAGATACTGCATGGTTTTTCCCTGTCAAGCCATATGAACTTGACAGTTTACCTATTTTTTCTTTCAGTTGTTTTTGAGACAAGATCTCTCTCTGTTGCCCTGGCTAGAGTGCTGAGGGGTCATAGGTCACAGCAATCTCAAATTCCTGGGCTCAAGCAACCGTCCTGCCTCAGCCTCCCAGTAGTTGGGATTACAGGCACCCACCACCATGTCTGGATAATTTTTCTATTTTTAGTAAAGATAGGGTCTTGCTCTTACTGAGGCTGGTCTCAAACTTGGCCTCAAGGGATCCTCTCACCTTAGCTTCTCAAACTGCCGGACCTCAGGCATGAGCCACGGTGTCCAGCCAGTTTGCCGAATTTCAAAAAATTCAAAAGATGATATGACAGAAATACAAATGTTCTCTAGCTTGAAAGCAGAAACCATAAGAAAGGTACACCATGGTTCACTATTTAAAAATTTAAGCTCAGAAAGCTTTTGTTTGAGGTGGTCTCAAAGGCACAGCTCTAAACTACTCGGTCCATGAGCAACTCATATGAGACCGTTTCATACACTCATAAGATCCAGAGTTGTGGGGGAAGCAGAGCAACAGATGGAAGAGGGGATCTAACCACCCTTGATCCTTCTGGATTAAGTAAACCCTATGGGGCAATGGCCATCCAGAGTGTTATCTCTGTCACCAACACTCAGCACAGGGCCTGGCGCATGGCTGGGGCTCATATTCACTAGATCAGGGAATGGTGTCTATGATCCTTCCTACAGAATAAAATCCAAAACCGTCCAAGAAGGAAAAAAGGTGGTTCTTGGTTTTTAAATTAGTCGCACAGGGAGCTCAGGCTAAGGTCACCTAGAAGATCATCCTCCTTTTCCAAGGTCATTTAGTGTATTAGTGAAAAAATTGGTCTTATGCCAACTTATGCATTATGACAAGCACAATCAAAAAAGAGACTTTTAACAAATTTTTTTAAATTTACCTTTTTATTTTTTAAAAAACAGACTTCCTACAGAATAAAAGCCTCACTAGGCTTTGTAGGATTGAATTAAGAAAAAAACTTTATTTTTACAGTTAATCTTATTGGAATTATGTGAATACTAGTAGTATCCTTCCAAAGTCTGGGATTCTAATTTTAAAACAGATGATTAAAATTCAAGTATCCAGTTCAGACCCAGGAAAAGAATTTATACTCTTTCAAATAATTTTCACCATTTCTAAAATGGGGCTGATCCAGCAATTACCTATGGGGGGGGGTGTGACAGTCTGCACATTGAACTTACCAGCATGAGCTGCTCATACATGTGTGCAAGTGGCAAAAACGAAATGTGTGTGTCACTGGCATTCAAGGCAAGTACTTTCTGTAAAACACAACAACTTAGCAGAACACAAACAAACAAGCAAGGAAAACAAAGCTGAAGGCCTACCTCTACAACTCTCTCAAACATATGGGCCAGAGGCAAGAAAGATATCAAAATATCGTCTGGGGAAGGAATGACTGTATTCTGTAAGCAAAGACACCAGCAAGGCAGAAAGGCATTAAGATTCCCAGTAATTTTCCATTTTATTCAAGAGCACATAGTACCTCAACTCTAAGGAGAAACAGCTTTATTTATGGTCTCTGATTTTTTCTGACCAAAGAATGAAATGAAAGGCAATACTTTAATTATTCAAATAGAGTGGGTTATTCCCAAAGACAAAGGAAACCCACTTTAGGACTTTAATCAAAATGAAAGAGATCTGACTCGAATTGAAATGTTAAGGGATTATGTGCTCTGAACAGTATTTCAGATTAATATTACCCCACGACCCAGCAAGTTCAAGTCCACCTTAATATAAGAAACATAAGATCCATTCCAATATAAGATAACATATTATGCTGCAAAGAGAAAAGAGAAAGTGTAGTCCCAAGATCCTTCTATTTATAGTATAAATGTACCTAGAATATTTGAGTTTGATCATTTTTCCTATACTCTACAAAAAAAATATTGCAATGTATTTGGCACCACCTCAGATCTAGCACCAGGGAATTCGCTCTCCCATAAAATGCTAATTATGATGGGTCCACAGGCAGATTAAGTTTGAACATGTAGTGTCCCTTAAAATAGGCCTTACTTAGTGGCAGGCTCAGTGAGGGTTTGATGGACCATTCATGTTATTAACATAAAACATTCTGGCCAAAACAGAGGGTGTCCGATAGCAGCTGTTGCCCCACTAAGAAATGAGGGCATTGTCAAGTTACCTAGGGTGAGCTCTCACTTCTGAGCCATGCCCTTCCCCATCACCAGAGCTGGGTCACCCTTAATAATAATGTGACAACAGATAAAAGCACCAGTCCCAGGCAGACAATGCAGCACCAAAAGTGTTGGACATAGGCTGAGTGCCCTATAATCTCTGCTTGATTCTGTTCAAGCGTGACCTGCATCCCAACACGTACTTCTCAGTGTGAAATTGCTAAGAAGTCAGACTTGATAGTGTTAACACTTCAGTTTTCTGATTTAGAACAAAAATTATGTCAATTATCATTATTAGAAGTTTTATAAAGTTGAGAATGCCCTTTGATGTTAAAATTTATTTTTATTTTAGGCCCTTGTTTTTCACCCACTGATATAATTGATTTTAAACAAAGTTAGGTCATCGTTTGCCTCAATGAGCCCCGGATGCCAAACAGGAAATTAAAATTTCACTTGGGTAAGGTATTAAATGTTGAATTCTCTTTACAAAGTGTGGCCTCTTAAGAAAGTGTGAGTGGAGTAAAGGTAACAAGATCCCTCAAAGGCCAATCTTGTAGCTGCCAAAGATGTCCATCCCCAAAATCATTAAGCACAGGCTCCTGCCACAAAAATTAGAGATATAAAATACTCCCAAGAGATTGCAAAAGCAAATTATGTTAACACATTAACTGCCATGTGAGTTGTATTTAACTTAAGCTACTTTTGAACCCTGGGGCCTCGTGAAGCATATATAACTCACTTCTCTTAATCTATCTTCAACTAATATAACATCATGGCCTCAAGGGAAAAGAAAATTTTCTTTCAGTGTGGCAGTGAATGTGTTAAATGGGAAAAAAAGAGTGTAAGAGAAAGACATTATATTGTTCAAGTACCTTTTGATATATTTCTTAAAATTACCTTAGAAGACAGGGTCTTATTCTGTTGCTTAGGCTGGAGTGCAATGACACAATCATAGCTCACTGTAACCTTGAACTCCTGGGCTCAAGAAATCTTCTTGCCTAAGCATATTGAGTAGCTGGGAATATAGGCATGTGCCACCATGCCTGGCCAATTTTTTATTTTTATTTCTTTTAGAGATGGGGTCTTGCTACGTTGTCCCAACAACATTGCCCAAGCTAGTCTTAAACTCCTGGACTTAGGCCATCCTCCCGCCTTGGCCTCCCAAAGTATTGGGATTATAGGTATGAGCCACTGTGCCCAGCTTCAAGTACCTTTTTAAAAGGCAAGCTTGAATGTACTCTTGGTGTTATGGACTGAATTATGTCCTCCTCCCCATTCCAAATTCATATGTTGAACTCCTAACTCCCAAAGTATTTAGAGATAGGGCTCTGATGTGACCATATTTTGAGGTGGGTCCTGATCTGATAAGGCTGGTGTCCTTGTAAGAAGGAGAGACACCAGAGCTTGGTCTCTCTGTACATGCACAGAAGAAACATCATATGAGGACACAGGGAGAAGGTGGCTGTCTGCAAGCCAGAAAGAGAGCCCTCACCAGAAACCAAATTTGCTGGCAGTCAACCCTGGACTTCTGGCCTCCAGGAGTGTGAGAAAATCAATGTCTGTTGCTTCAGTCAGCAGTCTGTGGCATTTTGTTATGGCAACTTGAGCAGACTAAGACACTGGGATGGCAAACTTAAAAAGTACAGGGAGTTAACTTAAGTTCAAGGCTTAAGTTGATGATAGGAGTCTAGTTGATGACAATAAATAATAATAATTCAAAAACCTTCAGGAGCTTTTAACATTTCATTGACAGCACAAAGAAATTATCTTCCCTACACTGGGACAGTGGATAAAAGTATAAGAGAGTCTATCTCTTCTCTGTCCTTTCCCAGACATATTTATTGTCCCTTTCTGGACATATTTATAAGGCCATATCCAAATAAAGTTTCACTACATAAAAGCCATAGTAAATCCCCTCGATCAGTTTACCTTAATGGTCACAAGTAAGAGCTGCAGATTAGGT